CACACACACACACACACACACACACACACACACACACACACACACCACTTTGACAGCCTGGGTTCAGTCCATGGTAGAAGAGAACAAACTCCCATAAGCTGTTCATTGATCTCTGCACACACCACAGCATGCTCAATCTTGCAGTGTCCCCTCTACAAGTAATAAAAAGGGTTTTAAAAGTGATGGCCAGTAAGCCGGTGTGCAGCATCTGTGAATAACAGCTTAAAGTAAAAGAGAAACAATTCTTAAGTATTGGTGTAGAAGTTGAGTATCTAAAAGTCACTGCTGGTCAGAATATAGAGTGGTGTAATCACTCTGGAAAACCTATTTGGCAGTTTGGAGTAGAATTGAACACATGGCCACACTAACATGGCATTCCATGCCTAGGTTTGCATGCAGGAGAAATGTAGACATTCTTATATAACAACCTTATTTGTAATAGCTCCAAACTGGGAATAGCTCAGGAGCCCGTCAGACATACATAAATGAATTCTCATGTATCACGAAATAGGTCACTATTCAGGATAAAACAACCACTGCTCCATATAACACAATAAAATCAAAATTGTATTAAACTAAAGAACCTAGAGGAAAATGTCTAGTGTATGATATTAAAGCAGTACCACATCCAGTGGTAGCCATTAGTGTTACCTCAGCTGCAGGGGTTGCTAGAAGTGGAGCTCTATCTGGTGTCAGATTCCTGGGTATATGCATTCATCAGAATCCAAACTGCTTAGATTGTTGTATTTCACTGAAAGGAATAGTATCTCAGTAAAATATCAAGAAAGGCACAGTAAACCAGGAGTGGTAGTCCACACCTTTAATCTCAGTACTTGGGAGACAGAAGCAGATGGAACTCTGTGAGTTCAAGGTCATCTTGGTCTACAGAGTGGGTTGCAGGTCAGCCAGGGCTACACAGAGTAACCCTGTCTTAGTTTGGGTTTTTATTGCTGTGAAGAGATACCATGACCATGGCATAAGAAAAACATTTAATTGAGGGGCTTGCTTACAGTTTCAGAAGTTCAGTCCATTATCATCATGTTGGGGAGCATGGTGGCATGCAGGCAGATGTGGTGCTGTAGCTGAGAGTTCTATATCTTGACTCAAGAGGCAATAGAAGTCGACTGACGGTCATATTCAGGAAGCTTGAGAAAAAGAGATTCCAAAGCCTGCCCCCACAGTGAGACACTCCTCCAACAAGGCCACACCTCCGAATAGTACCACTCCCTTTGAGGGCCATTTTCTTTCAAAACACCACAAACCCTATCTTGAAAAAAAAAAAAA